GCATATTGTTTCAGCATACTGAGGAAATTAACAATATATAATTATTTTAGGCTGTTGATTGCTTTGAAAGGTTCAATTGTACTGAAGATTCTGAAAAACATTAACAAAAATATCCATCATCATCATTGTTGCTATCACCACATAATAATAATAATAATAATAATAATAATAATAATAATAATAATAACAATAACAATAACAATAACAATAATAATAATAATTCTATACAGTGAAAAAGAATATTCATCATAACACTACAGCGGCATCAAGATGATCCATGATTTTAAAAGAAAAAAATGTCTAGTTGGAAGTATTATTCACCTTCAATCATCATTCATCATCATCATTATTATCATCATTCCTCATTGTTATCAACATCATCATTATCTTCATTGTCATCATCATTACTATTATCATTCTTACCTGGTAACATTTACATCTCATTGCTGAAACCACCACCAATTATCAATATTTTTTAATCAATTCAAATTCTTCTCATACACTATAAAAATGATACTCATTGTCTTATTTATCATTATCATAGACATCATAATCCTCTTGTAATTACCCCTATTTGTTCTAAATATCAATACTATATTTCATCAATTAATATATTAATTACAGTAAAAATCTTTGCACTCAGATATTTTATGAAGACTTAACCTCAACATTTCCTCTGCATTACCAATCTTGACCTCAATATTTCCACTGACACCACAATTGTGGATTCTGCCCCTTCTTTTTTTAAGAACTTGTACATTTGTGTTTTTAATCACTGAGTATTTGTATCCTAAAGTGATGAAGTATATGATTTATGTATCTGTCTACAGTAGGCTCAACTCCAAGCACACCAGCTTCAGGACCACCAAGCAGCACCTTATCCAGCCCCATGTTTCCCAAACCAGTCAACTCATACGTGATGGGCTTGGCAACTCAAGATGTACAGGATTGGTGGCGAGAACAGTTACAGTATGACAGTGGATCTGAAGAAGACTAAGAAAGTTTAAAATTGGCAGTTGTGTTTTTTCGTTTTGTTTTTTGAAATGATATAATTTTATATTATTTATGTGTTTAATTAGTATTAGGCATTGTCTTCAGATAATTGTCCTAATGGGAAATTCTATAGGTAGTGTGCTCACTTGGCCTCAAGTTGGTAGAGCATTCGAACAGTAGTAGTAATATGCATCCCTATTATATTACCTTTTTTGTATTATTTAATTTAACTGTTTTATGTTTTTAACATATTTTGCAGCTTAGCCTCTTAGTTCAGTAGGTAGAGCAATAGAATGGTAATCAAAAAGGTCTTTTTTTGAATTCTAATATGGACAATACTTACATACATGTAGCCAATCTAAACCATGTGAACAACATGTTGAGTTTAATTAATTTTTATTAAAAAAAAAAAAACAGCAATTCTATGATATCCAGAGATATACTATCAGTCATTACATTTAAAATGTAACTTGGTGCTTTTAAAAAAATGTATATAGATAATGTGTATATAAATTAATATCATGCTTGGTAAGAGAGTAGATATATTTATTTCTTAAAACGTAACATTAATTTATGAACAACGTATTTTATTGTGTCACAGTTGCTTAAATTAGCTTTTAAACACAATATATTATATATTATAGAAACAGTTTTTAATAGTATTTATATTAATATAAGAATTTATATATTAAGGGCAATACTTGTAAAACCACCAACCACCAACAGTTATACAGTATTTGCGTGTAACTGGAATTAAACAGAAAAGAACGGTCCGAAAAATCAATAGTTTCCTATGTAGACTGTGCCGATATAGAGCCTAAACCTGTGTCGTTTTCTCAGTTTAAGATAATAATGTGGAGCAAAAATTAGTGATCATATTAAATAGTGATCGTCCTTATTTTAAATGTGACCTAACAAGGGCTTGATTTTATATTGAAGAGGAGGTAACTAAAGAACCTTGAATTCTTGGTATGACCACAATCAGTGACGTATCTAAGCAGCATCGGGGTGCACATCACCTGTAGAATTGCACCCACCCCCCCCCCCCCCCCCCAAAAAAAAACCAAAAAAACATCTGAGCAAATTGTGTATACTCAAGTACAGTAGTTGGAAATAACAACATCAATTTCATCTCATTATTTGAGCTGTTTCTCCCCGCCCCCTTCTTTTTTAGATTCGCCACTGAAAAGGTTCATAATTACAAGAACCATTATTCCTTTTTGTGTGACCAACACATGCCAGCTTGTGATGCATATACACTGCACCCTCAAATTTGAAACCACATTTGGAACTGCAAATTTGTGGTGACCTTGGGGTAAAGTTTCCAATTAGAGTGTAAGCTTTGTGTTAAAAGATGGAATTTTTGTATTAGTGGTTCAAAAATGGGGTCTCAAATTTCAGGATGAACTGTAGTTTCATCATGAGCACAGCATGCCCACAGTATAAGTATTAATAAAGGATACCAAAATACAACTTGTCTAAAAATAGTGCAATAGATGGAATGGCTTTATTGTAACCTTGTGTATTGTTTTGTATCATGTGTTTGTGAACATGGCAAAAATACAATGTATACTAATATTTAAACAAATTAAATAGTGTACTGTATGTTTTTAAGATCTCAAGAAAATGAATGCTTTATCATGTAATGTAATTTTCACAGAATTACTGAAATTACTTACTACTCTATATATTTGATTTGTATAAAATTTATGCTAAAAAATGAGCCTTGGTGCGTGGTTTCTTTGAAACCAACCTTTTCAACCTAGCTGATTAAATGCATTCACATATTAAACCCTTGTTTATGTTATACTAACTGACACATGTTGATACAGATGTAAAACTGTAGTTTATTTCTCATTTGTTAGCATTGATTATTAAGAACCAATATTAAGAACCAAATATGTTTGCTTATAGTGACTCGTTGAAGTAAGAATAAATATTTCACAAAAACATCGCTTTCGTTAATAGTTTGATTATTTTTATATTTTGTGGTAGAAAGTACAGAGAGTATGAAAATACCTGATAAACATTAGTAACGCCATTAAAACATTTAATTATTGTATGTACCTTTTATATTGGATACATAAACTGCTATGTGGAACTTTCGGAGAGATTCCGAGTTTAACTGAAAAAGAAAATTAACTGCTGGATTAACCAAAAAGAAAAAAAAAGTATTTCCTTTGTTAAGCACCTGTACATTTATTTATTCATTTTCAGTACCGTAACGAAAACACATGATTGCACCCAGGCTTAGGTCTCTTCGGACTTTATTACCCTTGGGTCGCCCGGCCCCAGTGGTGTAGGGGGCAGTTGGCTTCGCCCTGTACGCTTGGTTTTCAAAGTTTTAAGAGCGTATTTTACCTTCTGTTTATTAGGCAGTCCCGCCCGGCCGACTGGGGCCTTGTTGGTACTGTACTGCCAAAAACATATGATTATACTGTAATATACCAAGACCACCCCATACGGTTTACTGAAAATGGATTTTACCAAATTGACAGCTCTGCCAATGACAATTGTTTTTTCCTATCTCCAGTAGTCAAATGTATATTCAGTTCTCTTTTTAATAAAATTGTTTGATATAACGACTCGTAAAAATCATAGTTATAAACAAATATACAATTTAATAATCCCATGTTTCACAATAATTATAGGCCTAATCTAAAATACCATTAAGTACTACTTGTTTTTGTTGAAGCGCATTGGGGCCTTTCTCTGCGGAAAGTGGGCTATGAGTGGAGTTTTGATTTGATACATTACTTTATGGTTAGTGTACAGACTATGTGTGCATACAGCAATTGGTCTATGCGTCCGCGACGGAGATGCCCCTGACCCTGGATGTCGTGGGTTCGATTGCCACCCGAATAACTTGTGATGTACTGGGTATTCGATAATAATGTACGATAACACGTCAGGTAGGGCAAAACATCACTCCTATATATTTTTCTTGTTACTTATAATAAGATACGATACTTAATCCTTACATTTCATTCTAATTTGTTACACTGTTTTCCCACAGCATTGTTTTCAGTATTGATTGCCTTACCCACCCATCGTGCTTTTAAAAGCACATTCTTACAGGCAAAATTCGGTAAACTGAGTACCGGAAACTTGGGTTTTGGCAAAGTAGACTTCGAAAACTGGGATCGGGCAAACTGGGTTTCGGTAAACTAGTAGGATACGGCGTTGACAGAGAGTGATATAATACTGTACTAATAGGCCTACAAGTTAGCAAAATTTTAGCCAAATTGCTTAAGGGAAGGAGAATGACTGAAATAATCTGTCCCAAGACATGTTACGGTACCTAATGAGGCAGTATTACGCCATAAATATTCGCGTTTCAAAGATGCAACAATGACGGTGCGAGCATCTCCAAAGAATGATATACGTGCGCCTACTAAATCTCCGATTGATTGACTAATAACGTATCAGTGGCGGCTCTAGGATATATTTTTAGGGGAGGGGGGCCTGAGCTGTCCGACAGGGGGAAGGGTTTAAGAGGGTGTTCCCCCTCCCAAATATTTTTTTTTAAATAATAAGAAGCTCTGGATGGTCAGAAATAACACTCTGATTGTGACAGACATATGTTGGCTTGGCGTGGGCCTATTTTTATATACTTATTTAGTCCGACTGCCCGACGAGCTCTGTCCAATTGGTGGTGGGGAGGGGGTGCTTGACCTGTCCGGTAGAGGGCTTAAGCCCCTGCTGCCCCCCCCCCCGCTGGCGCCGCCACTGTAACGTATTTGCAGTGGCGTATCTAGAAGTTTTGAAATGGGGGCGCGAAGGTGAAGTTGGAGACTCGATGATCAGTTCAGGGGTGCTAAATCACAAAATACAGGGCCGTCGGAACCGCACCGGCTTTGGCCGGACCAATTCTTCTCATATTTTTATTGCTTTAAAAAATACATATACCTGTACCTATAAATTATATTAATAATTTTTGCACCTCAATGTCATTTGAATGTTTCACCATTTGCCGGTACGTGTTTTTTAGTGCACTATTAGCCTATGCATTTCAAGCTCCTGTTATGAATTAATTAAAAACTTTTCATAAATCTTTGATTTTAGCAAAATTTGCTTACCTTTGCCCCAACCATGCAGAGCATGTGTAGGGTATCTTAGTCGCCCACTAGGGGAAGTGGCTCTATAGGTTGTCAGATGCTATTTCCAGGCATAGTGGGTTGTTATTTTATTTATTTATTTATTTATTTTTTTGCACAATATTCTTAAGGGTTAGGGCTTAGCGGAATGGTTCATTATCTCATCGGTAGTATGGTAGCTGTTCGCTCAATATCCTTTTATAGCCATTTGTAAACATAACATTTACATTGAAATTGTTGGGTCTTCTCAGAGTAGAAAATGTAGTTGTAAACTGTGAACAATATATAGATACAGTAAATATAACGCAGGTAAAATTATCCCCCCACAAGTCCCCCCCCCCCCCCCGGTATTTCTAATTTAGTTATAAAATAATAATTTATATATTAAAAAAGTGAATAAACTACATAGTAAAAACTACCATTGCCGATCACCATCCCAGTATTTATGAGTGAACATTCTATTGTTTTCCTCTGTTTTTAATGTAATGTATGTCTACTCAAATCGGTATGAAGAAAATGCCATATAAGGCCACTTTCTCAAAAGAGGTCTTTATATTTGAAGTCGGAAAACTGCAGTATCGGCGCCACCGGTGGAGGTGTGGGATAGATGATCTGGGGAAACGGGATCTTGGACTATACTTTTACAGTCTCGGTGAAATATCCTGGCATTGATTGTCGAGAAATTTGGATCTTCATATCTGGAAATCTATGGCGCCGTCACTGCAACGTCCGATTGGGGCTGTGGAACGGTCTGGTGGTGAGGTTCCGTCGGATCTACGCCATATTGTCGAAATCCAGTTTGCCTAATCCCAGATTGCCTGGTCTACTTTGCCGAAATCCCATTTTGCCGAAACTCAGTTTGCCGAAAGTCAATCAAATGCAGTGAAACATTAAAAACAGCATAACATTCGTGATGGAGCACTAGGTACCGTGACTCCGGTATGAACTGGTGGAGCCAGCGGAAACTAAGGGCATAGACATAGATATCTATTTATTCATCCATAATTGGAAATTGTTCTTTTCCACTCTCAAAGAAGAAAGAAAATTACATGATTTATCGGGAAAAAAAGAAACTGTCTATTACATATTTAAACATACATACATTGTTAAAGAGGCAAATTACAGAATTGCGAAATTTGAGAATTTAGAAGCCTTCCAAGTGCGATGCGATCTCTGTTTATTTGTATAATAAATAACTGCTTATTGTAGTTTAATGATTAGTTTTGTCTTGTTCTGTAAATCGAACTTGATAAACAAGTTAGCTGTCAGCAAAAAAAAAAAATAATTAAATAGGCCTGTCAGATTAAATGTCTTATAAATAAGCATATTTATAATAAGTGTTTACAGTTTAATTAAGATAATAATAGGCCTATGTATACCTAAATGAAATAAATAAATAATAATAATCTACAATTATAGACCCGAATCAAGGGGCTGACTTGAGCTTCTGTCAGGGTCCCGGCATAAAAAAAATCCATGTGTTAGGAGTTTTTTGGGTTTTTTTTTTTTTTTTTTTTTTTTTTTTTTTTTTTTTTATTTTAAAAATTAAATGTATTATTTGTAAAATATTAAAAATTAAA